AATTTTAATTTTAATTTAATTAATTAATCAATTAAAAAAAATTTTTTTTTGAACAAGTTATCTGATACGGGTTCGAAGCCCGTCCATAAAAGAGGAGGGAATGCACCTCAAGCTGATTGACAAGCTGATTAAGTGTCAGTTGACTCGGACTGAGTGTCAGTTGACTCGAAAGGTAAGGTGTAATTAATTAAAATTATTTATGTATGGATGATGTTAAAATATATATTAATTTTTGTAATTTGTAATATAAATAAATTATAAAAAGATATATTTATCACATTTTAATTTGTGATTTAAAAGCAGAAATTAAATAAATTTATTAAAAAATAATATTTTTTATAATTTTTTAAGAACATATTATACATGATAATTTGTCTAATAAATTTATTTAAATATTTTAAATTAATTATTATTTATATTATTTTATTAAAAATATTTAAATAAATTTATAATATAAATTATATTTTTAATATATAATTCATCTTAAAAAATGTTGAATTTCTCTTTTATTATTATTAAAAAAATTATTTGGATGTTTTAATAAATTGGGGAGACTTTTTGGTTGTGCACGTGACGTCATTGACCAATAGGTTTCTTTTTTTTTTTTTTTTTTTTTTAATTGAAAGAAAAGGAATTTTGTGTCTTTGCGCTTTGTGACTTTTTGGTTGTTGTTTTGGTACGGCGTTTGGCGGTATAATGAATCAGATTCTGTGTTCCTCTTAGAGGTAGAAACCCATAATTGCAAAGTTGGGGATTTTATTCTTGTGGATGGTAGGATTTTCTTTTTCTTTCAGATATTTTAAGGTTGTATTTATATTTACAAAAAAGTGAAAATCAAGATATCTTGATATTAAGATATCCATTATAATCATTTGTTGAGTGAATCATTGATTGAAACTCATTTAACGAATAATTATGATGGAACATCCTGATGTCAAGACGTTTTGATATTTTGGATTCTATTATATTTAATTATTGTAATTTTTATTCTTATGGATGATAGTATATAAATTTATATTTATTTGTTTTCTTCTCTATGATTATTTTTTTTTGTTTAATAGCTAAAATATTTTTAAAGTCAATTTATGCATAATATATTTCACATAAAAAGACAAATTATCTAAGTTAATAAAACTTTGGGCAGTCCACATAAATAATAATTAATAGAGAGGTGTGAATCTTCTTCGTATTAACAATCCATTCCTCTATTATTAATAATTAAAAGAATTGTGGTCTTCCCATTGCAATGTTGTATTCTCTTACAATATGTTTGAGTTAAGAGAAAAAGAGAAAGAGAATTTTCTCTTGTTTAAGGTAAGAGAAAGAGAGAAATAAAATTTTATTTGATTATCAAACGAATTGAAAAGAAAGGAAAGGAAAATAAATTTATTTTATTTTTTAAATTTATTTACTTATTTAAATAAAAAAAATTAATTAAAAGATAAAATTTCTAGTCTCTTCATTACTCTCAATCTAAACATATGATTAGATTAAACTTTTAAAAATCATTGGTAATTATATCTTGTTTGGGTAGGTATTTTACCTGTACTTATAAAGAAACAAGTAAGTATCGGGTATGAAAAATGCATACTTGTTAAGTATCGGGTAAGTATTGGATATGAGGATCAATACATGTATACTTGACCTATATACTTTACTCAAATATATGACCTGTATATCTGAGTCATATACTTAATTTATATTCTAATTTTATATGCTTAATTTTTAATATAATGTTATGAAATCAAAATGTTTATTTTTTTTTCTTCTTTGCTTCTGGCAGTAAAAATTAAATTGAAGGAAAATTACATGAATTTTTGTTTATATTTCTTTTATTATCGTATATATACTTGTATATATGTGAGTATATATACTCATGTATTTTGTTTTGTATATAAACTTGCATTATAGTTGTATATTAATTTATATATTATCAATGTAAAATTTAACAAGTATATAAGTATACTTGTGGGTATACCTGTACCCAACAAGTTGGGTAACGAGTATAAATTTTCAATACTCAGGTAAGTACAGGGTATCAAAAGATTGTACCTAGTACTGTTTAAATCAAGTACAGGTATGGGCCAATACCTGACCCATACCTACCCATGCTCACCCCTACAAGAAACAACATAGAAAGCCCAATATATCCTGTTCTAAAGTCAAGGGACAAGCACAACAATGATGAGCAAAAAAAAAAAAAAAGAGAAGTCGAAATTTCTTACTATGAATTTTCACTTACACATTAAGTGTTCATGAGCTAAATTTTTTGATAAGTGGTGTGAAGAATATGATGGAGTATTTTGCTTTAAATGAGTGTATGAAAACTCTTGAATATTTGAAATTTTATATCTAATTGAATTTTAATTTCTAAATTTTCTTTGCATGCATAACATATAATTGCATTCTTACATTGAGATTTTATGGGTAGATCAGTTGAAAACCCTCACAAGACACAACTCATCCACTAAGATAACTTAGGGGTTTAAAAGCTTATTGTACATACTAAGTGCAATCATGGTTCCTACAAAAATAAATTGGGTTTTATTTTATTTATTTATTTATTTATTTTTATTTTACACGATAATGAATAAAACTTAGGTTTGAGAGAATTTGATGAGCTAAATTTATATATATATATATTAATGTGAAAATTTTGCCTTGATATTATTGATATTTAAGTGAGTTTTATGAGATTTTACTTGATTTTATATAAATTT